TATATATATATATGGACGATACTCACGTGTGAAAAACATCGTATTCATAATTTTGTTTTTCATTTTATGCCACTTTATAGGAGAGTAGTTTACAAAAGATCGTTTTGTGTGTGGGTGAGTTTTTTGTGGGGTTATTTTTTTTTGTAAATGCTTTACAGCGCTCGCAACTGCATACTGCATAAGGTCATTTAAGCGTGAAGGACACATTAAACTATTTTAGTTGGTAGGAAATTTTGAATTTTGTCCGGGTGGCGGCCGAAGCCTACTCTTATCGATTTTAGCCCACCAAGGGATCTTAAACGTGCGCAAACTGCACACGAGACCTCCAAGATTTTTCGCCCTTGTCCCAGAAGGCTTTCCTACCAGAAGATCATGGATGCGGCTGAAAGACAGCACTAAGAAGGAGCCAAGGAGTAGCAGTAGGAAGGCTGCAAAAAGAGTCAGGAGCCCAGAGGAGGGGGCAAAGGAGGTGACGGGGTGGAGACAGACAGAAGAGACGAAAGCACATTGCTAGAGAGCAGGAAAGGAAGTGAAAGGAAACAAGAAAAATGTTCCGTCGCTACCCGGATTAGAACCTGGGACCTTTGAATGAGAGGCCAACACCTTAACCTCTAGGCCAGGAGAGCCCTGTACAAAGGATCATTACTTGATTTTTTTTTTAACCTGGAAATTGTTATAATTTTAAAAGCATTTTTCATACATTGTGCTGTTTTGAAAAATTATGGTTAGAATATAGGGTCGTGAAAACATTGTGTATATTTTGTTGTTTTTCTCTCTATTTAACTGTTTCACTTTGGGTTTCTTTTTTTCGCAAAAAAACCCCGTATTTTCCTATTAAACGATAAAAACTATACTTTTTTCAAATTAAGACAGAAAATGTCGAGCCATGCCATTTTTTTAAACATAATAAATAAATTGCCGCTTGCTGTAGCCATGCAATGAACTGTAAACTGTACTATTTGTATTCTCCAGAGACACACTTCTTAAAGCCTTTTAAAGGCTTTGCTTTTTGATAAACCGGTACTCGGTAGAATCTTCTGTGTGAGTTATATTATTATAAACGCAAGTTTGGTTATTAGTCTTTTTTTTATAAAGTGTTTTACGGACTGGCAACACAATAAGGTCATGTAAGTGCCTACATTTCTCTATCCCCTTCGCCTATTCATTAAAAAACAAAAATCATTACTTATTCCACACAGAGTTGCCTTACATCCTCATGCCACAGTAAAGTCTTTAAATTTTTTATAGTAAAATTATTTCTTATTGTTATTTGGTCGAGGTCAATGTGTTTCAATATCGAGTTTATTTGAATTCTCTCTTAGTTCTGACCTCAACACCTATATTCAGTTGGCCAAGTCATTTGAAAGATCGCTCACATAGTGGCCCTATTTCATAGGAAGTCACCGTTAAGTAATCAGCCTCTTCAAAGTAATAACTTGGAGTTATAATTTAATTTTATAAACGTGCTTCCAGACTGTTATGACTCAGCGCCATATGTCTTGACGTGTGCCGCTAGGTAAGAAATACAGATTTATGAAGCACGTCAGAGTCGATGGCAAATTTTTATCAATTTTTTTTTTTTAGCTCAACACCTTTGTATCCAATTAGAAACTTATGTCAAGGAAAATGTTATAAAGAAACGTTGATTAAAGATACAAACATGTAAATTTACCCTTTCTTTGACTCTTCAGCCTTGGAAGTTACCAAGCTTTGGCGGCCACCTTCTCCCTAATTTTACCTCTAAAACCAAGTAATCTCCACCTCCTTTAATCCAAAATATCTCCACTTCTATTGAAGATAGATGGGTAGTTGTAGTTTTTTCACTGAAAGCAAGACAAATGAACATGCTTTAAGATGATACCAATAACTCAATATGCCCCAAAATTGACGAGTACCTGATTCCACCATGTCGTATGATGTGTCTGTGTTTCAAGAGATGTAAAACCTTTCCTTTAAAAAAAAAGAAAAACAAACCCCGGCTTTCATACATTGTATTATACTTATACTCACAGTGAGCTCATGGGGAGCGGAGCATGGCCTATTGGCGTAGACACATGCCACGAACAAGACGAAAAAGGCTACCAGAAACTTCATGATGAGCAAGCAAGTAACTGTGTTGAGGTACGAGCTCGCACCCAAAGAGACAATATTGGAAATGAAGCAGGCAATGGGTTTGACGCCCCTCAAATGGGATCTGATGACTCGCCTATCGTACACTTTTTTCTGGTTTTATTGTTACATTATTAGTTTATCATTTTGCCGGTATCACAAGACCTCAGATAGTGTCGATAAAAGGGTTTTCAACAATTAGAACCCGTCAGTCAGATTGGTTTTTTGGTCAGACGTAATAAACTTTGAGTATCGGCGTCAAGACTGCTGACTGATCCTGAAAGCTGACAAATTATGTTTTTGTCCTGGCAGTTCATACCTGCGCCATATAAAAAATGTAAGTGTAAAAACCACTTCACCGTACTGTGTGTGTATAGATAATTCTAAAATTGTTTGGGGACTAGCGGCGGGGTGGTAGGGGTTGGGGGTTTGTGGTTGTGTTTTGTTTTGTTCTGTTTTTTGTAGGTCTAAGATTTTGGTATACAAAACGCTAATACAGAGTGACCGCCTTTATTTCTGTGTTACTAAGAAAAACGCCTTTACTCTACTTGAGATCGGTACGTCGTTATTCACGTCCCTCACTCACAACCCAGCTCAGACCCCGGCTAAAAAAATATGCATAAAATGTGTTACATGAACTCGGTGGAATCAGGCGCTGGTCAAAAAGATGAAATCAAGAAAAATGGCACTTTCACGCTCGTAGTTCTACATCAGTTGTTTTTTTTGTTTTTTTTTTGTTTTCTCTGTTTATTTCTTTGTTGTTTTGTTTTTTTGTTGTTGTTTTTTTTAGGAGGATGGTGGTGTAGCTCAACATTTTTTATGTCCATTTAGAATAATAGTTCTGAATGGAGTTTATTTTTTTAAACGTTAGTCAAAAGCGCAAATAATGTAAATATGTGGTTTAGAAGTCCAACATAGCTTTAGAATTCACCAAACCTTGGCGGCCATTTTTTAAGCTAATTGTACCTCTGACACCAAACCCCTGTAAAATTGCAACAACAACATGACAATCGTCTGATTCCACCGCATAGTGAAACATGTGATATGTATGTACATAATTTATATTGTTTTATATATATGTATATATATATATATATATATATATATGTGAGTGTGCGGGGTGTGTGGGTGTGTTGCATACAAATTATATATATATATATATATATATATATATATATATATATATATATATATATATATATATATATATATATATATATATCGCTGGTGGAGTGTTGAAACCATGTAACCCTCAATTTTTTCGAAAATCGTTTTTTTTTTTTTGCCTTAATGTCTTCTCCCAGTCCTTCTTCATATTGTGTCAAAAGCAGTAGGTTAAATTATAAAGAGAAAGTATGAAAAATACTTACTAAAAAGACCTCGTATGTTTGCCCCCATGATATCCTGGCGTGATGAAACCTCACAACCCTCACCTGGTGCGCTGATCTGCTTTTGCGTGGTTTCATCACTCCCGTTTGAGAGAGTGGTGCGCTTATACGAGGTTCTGGATAAGCTTTCTTTATGAATTGATTTAATGGAAGCACTCGCAATTGACATTTTCTGGCGCATTTAACATGCCAGACGTAATAAAGAAATGTTTCATTCATTCATTCATTCATTCATTCATTTATTCATCCATTTTTTTAGTCAGTTCAGAAATTCCAATATGGTCGTAAGTGAAGGAATTACATTATGTAAATCTATTTGAAATCCTTTTATAGGGATGACTAACGCATTGGTAAACAAGATGTTCTCATCAAGTGCAAACGTAGTTAACTCTTAATTTAAGTCAACAGTCACACCTTGAAAAGACATGTGACAATAGTTTTTACTAAGAATAAGTGACAAGTCTATGCACTCTCCAGTTGTCACCTCGCCATTTTGTTAATCAAAGAGAGGGTAAGGTTTCACACTTTCTCAGACTACGAATCCGCTGATTAGTCGAATCCTCCAGTTGTGGTTGAGACCGAATAGTACTTAACTTACCCATGTTCTTCTTGACCCTGAAGTCTATAGAGAACATTGTGACAAATTTGTGCCTCAACAATACAAGTGAAATAGACATTTACGCATCTGTTTTGACTATCCCCCCCCCCCCCAACTGAGCTCGCGTCACCTAGATTTTTCCACCATCCAAGGGCTGGTTTTGAAAACCACTGAGCAGACCCCGTTCCATGAATTGACTCCAGCTACCATGTCGCAGTCCTTTCCAGGGATGTGCCTTATAAGTGGAGACAAGGAAGTATCAGCATCCTCCCAGACTGAGTCTGCACCAACACCAGTGTCGCCTGGAATCACGCCCCAAACCATACTGACGATTCCTCAGGCAGCTGTAATTCAGCTGCTGAATTATTACCTGCGGAGTCACAGCAACACGATCTGAAAACCACATTCCTAGGTCCCTCTCACCTTCAGGCACCTTAGACACTTTTCCTGGAGCCTGATCCAGAAACACAGCTCATTTGGGATGCCACAGAGAGGAAAAGAAAGGGTTTTCAAGGGTGGCAACAAATAAGCGAAAGTCCATCATTGAATGTGGTCAGGAATACCATAATGATTTAATGAAAAGCCCAGCTACGTCACTGAAACCAAACTGTGATTGAAAGAGCTAAACTCTGAATTGTAAAGGGCTCTCGAGGAAGACAGACATTCTAATTTTTATTTAGTGAGGTCCCTCTCATGGGATGAAAACAATGTCCTTTTATTGGACTAGTGGACATAGACAAACCTCAGAGGAGGTATTCAGAAACTAACCAGACAGGGCATACCTTCAAATACACATTCAAAAAGGTGGTCATAAGGTACCAGTGTGTAAAAAGATGTTCCTGCATTCAACAGGGTTGAGTGAATGATTTGTAAGAAACATTTAGAACCAATTATCAAAGTAACTCAGATATCTACAAAAAGTATGCACAATTTTGCCAAGACCACGGGAGGCAACCTCTCAACAGACCCCCCCCCCCCTCTATGAAACAATCAGGCAGAATAGCCTGTCTCTGTTCGGGCTAAAGAAAGATATGTGCGACCTTTGCATTATCCCTGAAGTTGGCAACGTGCTAAGGATTTTTGGAATGCTCACATTCTAAAAAAGGGGCAACGAGCATGGAAAAGGAACGAGACAAATCTGAAGCCATCAAATATCTCACCAGTGATGAACCTAAAACGGCGCATGTTTTCTATAGATCTTCAATGTGTGCTCCTTACACACAAACTGAATGCATCAGCCCTAAGTTACAAAACAAAGCGTGTCGTTCATAAGTTTACACTATTTGAAGCTGCAACACTTCAGACTACTTGTTACGAGTGGTATGAAGCAAATGGGGGACTTAGCAAATAAATTTGCTTTTTGTCTACTGGATTTCTTGAAGGAAAAGCTGTACTTCAAGAAAACCATCATCGACAGCGACTGCTGTGGCTACTAATACAGAAATACCACACTAGCTTATGTTTCTCTCAGCTTGTTTGCAATAACACATGGTAGCACAACTGAACAGAAAAAGTTGATCAAAGGACACACAAAATGTAAGTTGACTGTGCACTCAACTATTGAAAGATCAGTTCGAAAAGCACGTATCAAAGTCCCCCTACACTACCTCCATTTCTTCAGGATGGCAAGAACAAAACCAGAAACTTATCAAAACGAAAATTTGGATCACACATTATTCTAAGTGTGGAAGCTACAAGTCTATCAGACCATGTAGAAAAACGGGTGATCCTGTTGTCACCGACATCAGGTCTTTGAAGTTCACCCAAGACATGAACGTCCAGTTCAAGCTGCACTTCAGTGATGAATGGGCTGACGTTTCGAAGGCAGATCACAGAAACATAAAGTCCATCCTGCTACACCACGGAACACAGAACGTCTTAAAATCCAGCACTCCCAAGTACAATCACCTGCAGGAGCTTGAATCTGTTATTTCCAATATACGTCATCTCTTTATAATAATAATAATAAATATAGCGCATATCCCTACTCAGCAACAGGCTCTATGCGCTTTACACTATATTTATGACATTTACCTCGTTAACATTTGTCTTATAGCTATTCATTATGTGGTTTTTTTTACTGTCCCAGACATCGTACTGTTCTTTTGGGGGTTTTGTTTTTTATCTGCACGTGCGTTATGTAATATCAAAATTTCCCCCATTAGTATTCATGACCCACCACCTTTTGTTTGATTGACATCCTCCATTCGTTTTTCAAAGCATTTTGTTGTGTGCGTTTGTGTGTGTGTGTGTGTGAGAGAGAGAGAGAGAGTATGTGTGTGTGTGTGTGTGTGTGTGTGTGTGCGTGTGTGTGTGTGTGTGTGTGTGTATTACATTTTTTTCTTAATAAATTTTGTAATTTTACTGACGCATTAAAACTTTGAAAAACATGTCTATATT